GGAAGGAAGGAAGGAAGGAAGGAAGGAAGGAAGGAAGGAAGGAGCTGATGAAGGAAGGAAGGAAGGAAGGAAGGAAGGAATGTACTCACATATCTTTTTCATCTTATAAAGGATATCACAGGTATACACATATAGAGTTTTTATTAAAAATGCTACATACAAGCACTGAACTCTGCAGGAACGTTTTTAAAAAGTAAGCATATCTTTCATTGGCTTCATAACCTAATAAATTCGATCAGTCAGAACTGACAGGAAATGCAGGTCTGGAGGGGAAAAGAGCAGAGAACAAGAGCCCACCTTATGATGAAGCCAGCTAAGTATTTTCTCATTTTGTAAACACGGAGCATAGCCAGTTCTCTGACTACACTTTTATAAAGCTGGGCGGAGGTGCTTCTGCTGGGATGTGGCTCTCTGAACTTCTAGCAGCCTGTTACTGAAGAATCTTGCTCACCATCTGAAGGCAGTCATGGCTCAAAAAGGATTTCTGATTCTCTTCCTTGTCTCCATACTTTTGCTGGATCAGACCACTGGCCAGTCTTCCCATTCCAAAGCCAGGAAACACAGCAAAAGGAGGGTGAAAGGTAAGTAGCCACTAAAGCATGTGTGTCTCTATCTGTCTATCTATCTATCTATCTATCTATCTATCTATCTATCTATCTATCTATCTATCTATTCTATCTATCTATCTATCTATCTATCTATCTATCTATCTATCTATCTATCTATCTATCTATCTATCTATCTAATGACTACATTGACTCATCTCTTTTGGGTAATCCCATTCATACACTGATTAATTGCATTTAGTGCATATTCCAGCTTTCTTCTGGGACACATTCTGGTGTATATCAAACAGAGTTTCCAGGCTCTGATTCAATCCAGAGCATCTTAAGGAAGAAACAGATAAGACATCAGATTCATAAGCTGAAGGCGATCTTGCTACTCCAAAGATGCATTTCTTTTCAAGCTTACACACACACACAATCAATTTGCTCAAGAACACTATGCTTATCTCTCAATGTGATAAAACAATGCCAAGCAAGCTACTCTGCAGTTTGCAAAGCTGCAAAAGCAGTACGGGGTAATGGTTAGAGAGCTGAACATACACTTGGAAGGCAAAGCTGGGTTCAAATTCCCACTTGGCAATGAAGCTCACTGGGTGACTTTGGGTCAATTTAACCTAACCTACCTCACCAGTGGCCATAAAGTGGAAAGAAGAAACAGTGAGATCACGAAGCAAAAAGAGAGAGAGAGAATAATGTAAATACGAATATAAACCTGTGTTAGGAAGTACAAATGTGCTTTAGTACTTAAAATAGCTCCAGTTTTTATTGCTCATAACTGGAAGCTGTAATCTCGTATGTTTCTGCTCTCAATTGTAGTTTGAAAAAATAATTTTACATAGACTTGACTTCTGAGTAAAAACGTATAGCACTGTGCTTTTTGTTATTCTCTAATGTGCTCTTCAGCTTAATGTAGATATTTCTAGTATCTGCAAATATACTAATATGTGCTAATATTTGATTATTTAAGAGAAAAATGGTGATCTAAAGAGTCAAATTAACAAGCTTTGGCAAGAGGTAAACTCTTTGAAAGAAATGCAAGCTCTACAAACAGGTAAGATGTGTGTGTGTGTGCTTTGTTTGTTATATAAAAGTATGCTTGAACTAAAAGAAAGAGGATATTAAATATATTTGCAATGATGTTAATCTGAGGTGTGATTATTGTTACATGTGGGGTTTTATGTGCTTTTAAATTTTAACCTGGAAATCGACAAAAGTAGAGCTTGCACTAATGAGGGAGTATATAAACTGAATACATAAATAACTAAACACAGATAAATATCTTCCCTGACCTAGTATAGTTCCATGTTTGAGGACTGGTTAAAACAGATTGACAGATGAGAATCCATAAATTGTGGAAATCTTGTCATCCAACAGCACTGATTATTAAATTAAGAAAAATTTAAAGGAAAAATCAACATAGATGAATAAAGGAAAATAGAGTTTTGTCATCTGTTGGTTCCCGTTGGCTGGAGCAAAATATAACTTGTGCACTATTGGTGGTCTGTGGATTATATTTGGAGCCCATTTATTTTAGAGTTTAGAAGTGTGTTTCAAAGGTTTTATTTTGTGGCCAGTAAAAATCTGTACTAAGGGGTTAGAGTAGCGTGATGATGATGAGCAGGGCCTGAAAAAGTTGTTTTGGAAATACAGTTACCATCATCTCCTACTGGCCAATGTCCATGTTCCCTGGGCATTCTGGGAGTTGTAGTCCAAAAAAGTAACTTTTCTATCCTCTCTTTAAAATGACTTTTAAATAAGAGGTTGGAAGAATAGATAGTAAATGTGGCCCTATTTGTTTCTGTGATTACATTAATATTCAAGGTGTAAGAGGCAAATTTTAAACAGCCCTTTCAAATACCTTGTCCTACATTTATATGCTAAGCCTAAGGGTTGACCTCATGCACAGCTAGCTTTACTTTGGCACTCTGTCACCCGAAGTCATGAAAAGGCCTTCAGAATCCTGTCTGTGGTACAAAGCCAAGTATGCACCAATTTCCTGAAGATTCAGCCCGCTCTGGTGTCCATACAGACATTCATTTCTCCTTGCAGGGGGACATGCGGCCAGGGCAGTGAGGCCAAATGGACTGTTTTCCCAACAGAAATAGTACAAATAACAGTCTGGAGTAATTTTTAGCTTCCTACCTCCTCCACACTTCTCCTAGACTCCAAGATCAAAACAGCTAGAAGAATCACTAGCCAAACAGACCATCTAGAGCAATGGTCCCCAATCTTGGGCCTCCAGATGTTCTTGAACTACAACTCCCAGAAGCCTTCACCACCACCTCTACTGGCCAGGATTTCTGGGAATTGAAGTCCAAGAACATCTGGAGGCCCAAGGTTGGGGACCACTGATCTAGAGAATCAGAGTCAGATTCAGCTAATTCGCTGAATTACAAGAGTTTGGTGGTAAAACACACAAGCTGAAGGCAGAAGTTTTGCACCTTGGTAGTCGTGGTAAGTAATGGGATTTTTTAAAACATACAGACACCTAAGTGTGGCTAACCTGGAAGAAAGGCCTCAGTTGGAAGGAATGATTGGAGGGTTAAAGGTTCCTCTTGACAATTTTTTGTCCAGTTGTGTTCGACTCTAGGTGGCGGTGGTCATCCCCGTTTCCAAGCCATTGAGCCAGCGTTTGTCTGTGTTCACGTGGCCAGTGTGACTTAGACATGGAACGCCATTACCTTCCCACCGAAGTGGTTCCTATTTATCTACTCGCATTTGCATGCTTTTGAACCACTAGGTTGGCAGGAGCTGGCACAAAGTGACGGGAGCTCACTCCATCATGTGGATTCGATCTTACAGATACAGACCTTACAGCACAGAGGCTTCTGCGGTTTAACCTGCAGTGCCACCACATCCCTTAGGGTAAGCTCGGCCTAACTCCACTTAACGTCCTGTTCGGAAAGGAAAGTCCCAGCTAGCTGTGGGGCAGGAAGAGGAAACCTAGGTGAAGCTAGGCTGAGCTAAGCTTCAAAATCTTCCAGCCAAGGCCTTTTCTCACAGGTGAGCTACACTTAAGGCTCTGCAAGGTGTCTGTCTGTCAAACTAGTACAGTGGTGCCTCACATTGCGATCGCTCCGTTTAGCAATGAAATTGCTTTGCGATGCATTTTTTGCGATCGCAAAAGTGATCTCTTTGCGATGTTCCCTATGGGGGAATTTCCCTTTGTGATGCTTGGTTCCCTGCTTCGGGAACCGAGTATCGCAAAGCGACAATTTTAAAACAGCTGATCGGCAGTTTCAAAATGGCCACCGGGTAAACAAAATGGCCGCCCGCTGTGTTTAGGGACAGATTCCTCACTTAAGAGGCAGTAAAAATGGCCGCACTGAACGGTGAGTTTTAAACCCATAGGAACGCATTGAAGGGGTTTCAATGCGTTTCTATGGGCTTTTTAATATCGCAAGTGATTTTTCGTTCTGCAGTGATTTTTGCGGAACGAATTAACGTCGCAATGCGAGGCACCACTGTACAAGAAATCTGAAAAGCCCATCTCTAGTCACAGCATACAACCTTGTTCCCTAGATATCCTAGTGCCTCAGGAGAACACTTTGTACATAAAGCTGTAATCCATGAAAGATTGTGCCATTTATAGTGGTATGAAATTTTGATTAAGCCACTTGTAATTATGATCTGGTGGTTTTGCAGCAATTTACTCCATCCTGCACCATTTCAGCAGCAGCAACTGGTGATACAAATGACCAGCAATGCTTTGCCAAGCCCTATGGAGTCTTCCCCAGGTTAACCAGTCTTGGCTCACAGAATTTGATGTCTTCAGAGATAAGTGCCTCAGTGATCAAATTTGCAAAATAGCTCACTGTTCAACTCCAACTCCCAGTGACCAATCACAAAGCAAAGTGTGTTAAATGAAGGATACTTGGGTGAAGGAAACTGTGTGTTATTACAGACAGATGGTTTTTCCTGGACTAAGCAACACATGATAGGCAGCATTATCCCATTTGGTAATGAAAAAATCAGGGAATATTTGAATTATAGCCAGTGAGATCCGTACTTTGTGGTGGAACCAGGTGTTGGGAGTTTGCTTCCCCAGAAGAGCCAGCCTTGAGCAAGCTGCACAGTCCTAGAGTAGCCCCAGAAGAAGGGAGCGGTAAACCACTTCTCAATAATCCAGACCTAGAGCACCCTGAACAAGGTTGCCATTGGTGGGAATCAATTCAACAGCATGTTGGTTCTTGTTAAAGTGAATCCTCTTTTAACTGCAATGAATTGATTATGGTGCCTCTCATCTTTCATTCACAGTCTGTCTTCGTGGAACAAAGGTCCATAAGAAATGCTACTTAGCATCTGACGGGGCAAAACATTTCCATGAAGCAAATGAAGACTGCATAGCCAAAGGAGGAACTTTAGCTATCCCCAGGGATGGTGATGAAACCAATGCACTTCGAGAATACACCAAGAAGAGTTTGTCGGGAGTGGGAGATTTTTGGTTGGGTGTCACTGATATGGTCAATGAAGGGAAATTTGTTGATGTCAATGGAATGGTGCTCAACTACTTCAACTGGGACCGGTCACAACCCAATGGAGGGAAGCGTGAAAATTGTGTCTCGTTTTCACATTCAGCTCAAGGCAAGTGGGTGGATGAAGTCTGTCGTACCGTCAAACGATATGTCTGTGAATTCCTTATTCCATAGACTAATTTATAGCTAGAGCTGCTTCCTACTTAATTTTTGGAAATGCATACAGGATGTGCTTGAGGTTCCAATTTGCCGCTACTGACTTTCCTGACAAATCAATTGAAGTTTTTGAGCATAGGGTACCCTGTTCCCAGACACCTGGTAAGCCAGCCAGTAAAGAGCTGGTGATGTGAAAAATAATCTTCTAGCTGCAAGTAGACTTGATCCACAGTTCTTTGTGCTATACCTGTGCATTATGGTATGATCTATCTTATTGAATATCTTTGGAAGACAATAAGCATCCATGGAGGCTAAGTATATCAATCTTTTGTTTATCTTCATCCTACTGCAATCATTTTAGTCACTGACCTTCTCAGTCCCTGTAAAATCCATACATACAAGCAGAATACAGTAGACAACTCAATATTTATTGCATTGCATTCTATCAGCTGAAAGATAGTCTTCCCTCTATCATTTTTGCATTCCAAAGAAAACTGAAAAACCTAAAGTTCTTTCAAAATCACGGGGTTTAGGACAGATAATAAGATGCTAACACCCCTTAGTAGTTTAAGCTTGTGTAGTCCACCACAGATGACATTTATCTCTTATAGGGTTAATTCAAGTGTGAGATCAGATAACCCTTTTCAACCATATCAGTGTTCATCTGTGTATCAACATATAAGTTGCTCCATTTGTTCAAATGGTTCCAGGCAACATTAGCTTGTCTATTTCCACAAGCTTTATTCATCTAGTTGCTTCTGTGTTCTATATGTGTAATATGAAATTCAAAAATATTCAAAACATGTGACTTTTAAAGAGCCTCGTGGCGCAGTGGTTAAACTGCTGTACTTCAGTCAAAACTGTGCTCACGACCTGGGGTTCAAATCCCAGGTAGCCGGCTGAAGGTTGACTCAGCCTTCTATCGTTCCGAGGTCAGTAAAATGAGTACCCAGCTCGCTGGGGGAAGGGGCAATGTGTAGCCTGCATAATTAACTTGTAAACCGCCCAGAGAGTGCTTGAAGCACTATGGGGCGGTATATAAACAGCACGCTTTGCTTTGCTTTGCTTTGCTTTGCTTTGCTTTGCTTTGCTTTGCCAAGGCCACACAGGTGGCAGGGCATGAAGACCCATCAGCATCAGACACTCTGGATGACATCAGCTGGACGCTCTGCCCAGAAGTACACTTCTGGCTTCAGGTTCCACAATTGAATGCTTCAACCCATTTAAGCTATACTAGCCCAGGTGGCTGTCTCTAGACCAGTCATAATACTCTCTAACCAGCACAGACTCCTTAGCTTATTACACATAATGGTAGTCTTTCCTGTTCATTAAAACTGTACGCCTCTTCTTCCATTCATATATCTCTTCCTTAGAGCTGATGCTTTCCCTATTAATTTATTCCCCATTCAGTGGCAAGGGAAGTAACTGTGTACACAGCACTGTAGAGAGTAAGAAAAATCAATGTTTTGTTTTCAACAGTGTTAACGTCATTTGGAGTGACGGCAATATGGTTTTTAGAACATATTGTGGTGTTTGTTATAGAGGCACTCCTTGATTCCAGCAAGCCTCTCAGCATGCTCCAGGTGAAGGATGTGAAATTTTAGTCAACAGGAAAGATGATCAATAATGAACTCAGGATTCTCAACAGCCCCAAAGACAGTTGTGTCTTGGATTTGCAGGACAGGGGGCATTGTGAAAAGATGGGGGAGTAAATTAATGAATACCCTAAGTTGAACCCTAAGATTTCAAATTCTTGTCTCTGTTCAGTTTCCTTAAAATCAGAGTTGTTCTTTGCAAAGTTCCTGGAACAGATCAACAAACAACCGTAGCTAAGCCACTTGCTACCCATTGCTATTATCCGGACTCTACAATCTCATCAATAAATTAGACACTGTGAAGACAAGCCAAACAGAAACGTGTTCCTCATAATCCTAGGACTCCTTACTTCTAAATCTCATTACCTGACCACCTATGTGTAAACTGAATGGCATTTATGTTGAATAAACATGCCTTTTTTGATGGAGCTGAGATTTTTTTAACAGTATACTCAGTAACAACAAATTACTCTTGTTCTATAGAATAATAGTAAGCTTTTCTGCATGTTATCATATAAACAGGAACGTTTTCCTCTGAAATGTATGTAACCTCCCACTGTGCTTTACATCTAACACATTTCGATATTTTTCTCCGCAAAATTTACAAAGTTTAATAAAGTTATTTTTAAAAGCACAAGAGTATGGCTGAATATTGCAATAGCCATCTTAATGGATATGGCTTTAAGTCTCACACTAGATGAACACCAATGAACTCTGGATCCAACCGTCCCTACAAAGTGTGGTGTATTCAGTCGTTCTCAATAAGAGCCATATGTCCCCATTCCTTAGATGACAAAATAGGAGAGGTAGCAGCTAACAGTGAATGACTCAAAGCACCTAACTCAAATGCTCATCCAGTCTTCAGTTACCATCTCACCCTCCCTAAGTTACAATCAAGGAAAAGTTAGAAAGAATCTTGAAAGAACAGCCATGAATGCCAGGATTGTCAGGTGGAGAGAGAAAAATAGGTAAAGGTAAAGGTTCCCCTTGACATTTATAGTCCAGTTGTGTCTGACTCTAGGGTGCGGTGCTCATCCCCGTTTCCAAGCCGTAGAGCCAGCGTTTGTCCGAAGACAGTTTCCGTGGTCACGTGGCCAGCGCAACTAGACATGGAATGTCATTACCCTCCCACCGAAGTGGTACCTATTAATTTACTCGCATTTTACATGCTTTCAAACAGCTAGGTTGGCAGGAGCTGGGACAAGCGACGGGAGCTCACTCCATCGCGTGGATTCAATCTTACAACTGCTGGTCTTCTGACCTTGCAGCACAGAGGCTTCTGCGGTTTAACCCGCAGTGCTGCCACAGAGGAAAAAAAATACCCACCTCTTAAAATGGATGGAGCCCCCAGTCATTCGGAAAGCCAAGTTACTTAATAGGCTAAAGAGTGGAGTTGGCAGAACCAAACTAAGCCCTGAGAAACTTAAGAAGATGGGGTTTTCACACTGACATTGTGGTTTGTGAGTGAGGAGAACAGGCAGCTTCTCACCTGTGTCAATATACTCTGTGCCAGTGGCTCCCAACCTTGAGTAAACCAGTTGTTCCTGGACTGCAACTCCCAGAAACCCCACCAGTACCGCTAGCATATGAAGGCTTCTGGGAGTTGCAGTCCAAAAACACATGGGGTACCCAAGGTTGGGAACCACTGCTCTGTGCCCCTCAACATGTGCTATGGAAGTCTTGACATCAGTGGCACCGAACCGCTCTGGATGTTACCTATCACGGGGTGAAAATTATCTCTAATTGTACTCTGGTGTTTATGACCTAAACAAAAAGAAAGAAATCAAGAGCAGGGAATTTAAGGGTTTCTAAACAAAATCGAGATTTTTTTAAAAAAAATGTTTATCTTAATTGTTCACACTTTTTTAGCCTTCTTTTTCTCCCCACGTTTTTTTTAAACGACCTGGATCTGATGCAACAACAAAAAATAAATGGGAGAAACAAAAATAAATTTTAAATCTTCCCGATCATCTTGGAACTGCAGAGCCCGAAGGGAGGCAATGAATCCTGGAGTCGTGCTCCTTTCAAGGAGGCCCAGTGGGGAACCGAACTCTCAGCTTCTGTCGGAGCTATCCTGAAACGTTATTGCTAAAAGCCAGAGTATGTGAGGCGCTTGGTTTGTCGAGGCGGCTCCTTTGGGTTCCCGTGTCCCTCCCGCCGCCACCCAAAGCCTGTCTTTAGAAAGGATTTGGCAAGGGACGGATCCGGCTCCGCGCCCGATTGTCCCCGGGGCCCTTGCGACCGGGAAAGCGAAGCGAGAGAGGTACGTAGCGCCCTACGGAGTCAGCGGCGGTGTCTTTCCCCCAGTTCAGACCGCAAGAGCGTCAGCGGGATGGGGATCGCGGCTGGGGGCAGGATCCGGCCCTGCCCTCCCCGCGCGTCTTCCCAGGGAAGCGCTGGTTGAAACGCACGGCTCTGCCTTGGCCAGCCGGGAGGGGAATCAGCAGGATGAGCAGCAGCCGGACCAGCCTGGAGAAGCCAAGCGCTGGCGGGGCTTCTCTGGACGCCCAGTACGAGACCTTGGCGGTGGAGGCGGCGCTCAGCACCCTGCTGGCCCTGGCGCTCTTGGCGGCGCTGAAGGCGAGCG